CCCCCCGCCATCTTATGGCATGGCCTGTCCATTTTTCTAGATAGCCTTCAGAGACATCCCTCACGGCTCTATGCCATTCAATTCTGTGGATGTACCATGTTCCTTAAGCTTCTCTCACGCCATTTAATTAATAACATGAATAACGGTTATTGTCCAATTATATCCATCAACATTATTATTTAAAAGTATCACATCTATAAGTAAACTTCCAAGAGTAAAATTACTGGGTCAAAGAACATGAACATGTCTATGCCTCTTGCTACATAAATAGTTTCCAAAAGGGTGACAGTAGCTCTGAACTCCTACCAGCAGGGCAGCATGGGGGTAAGTGGGTGGGGTAGGAGATGGGTTGGGAGATACAAAATAGCCATGGGCTGGCTAAGGTCCAGTCTTGATTACCTGCCAAAGTCATTCTTCCCACATGTTTAAGTACAAAGCATATTTTCTGAGTATTAATTACATAAACATTTTTCTGTCCATGGTCTCTGAGATCTTGTGAATAATATTAATTTTGAGCATGTTCTCCACATGAGGACACTGCTTTATAAAAGCAATTTCACACATGCAAATTTCTAGTTTGATCATCCCTGTCTGTAACTGCAGCAGAGAGATTTGGAAAAGTCTAGGCGTGGTTTAAACCTGACTGTGAGTTTCAACCTAAGACTCTCTTCCAAAGAAAGTGTGCATTTCCTTCCTTGAGTCTTTGATTTTGTTCCACAACCCAAGTCTTCCTGGTTTCCCCACAGAGGAGCTTTTAGAAATGAATAAAAATTATGCAACTGTTGGGTAACTGTTCATTGCTGACACTAAAGGAAAAGACTACCATTGAGAAAGAACAACATCTTTGAAAATCAAAATTAAATATTTACATTCTCTTCCTGGGGAAAAGTGAGGAAGGGGCTTATACTTGCCTATGTGATAGCATGAAATTTCCCTTGGGACACTGTTTACTTTGGTGGGATAGGAATTCTCCTTCCTTTACAGAAAACAATGCTGATGTGCAAAAATTTGATATGATTTGTCCAAGGGCACCAGCTGAGAGACAAGAACTACAGAGATCCAAACAGAGGTCTAACTCTGAAACTCTGCACATTACATACTTTTCTTTCCTTTTTTTCCCCCGTGTCCATCTTCTTTTATTTGGGGACTTCCAGTTGGTGCTAAGCCCTATTCACCAACCTACACTTAAGGGGTAAGAAGATTCTCTTCTTCCCCACAAGACCAAATGGCTGGAGCCAACTTGTCTCAGAGGACCCATCATCTCAGAGAAATCATGTCTAGCTGGGGAGGGAACAGCAGACCCTCTGCATACTCATGCCAGCCCAAGCACAACCTCCTCCCAACTTCTCAAGTGGAAAAACACTGCATGCCTAAAGTTCTGCACAAAGCACAGATAACTAAGGCCCTAGAAGTGCACTGTCCAACTCAGGGTGGGGGGGAAGACAGTAGCTTTACATGTACCCTCTTCTCTCTGCAGTGGGCAACAGTGGTGCCTCACTATGAAAGCCAAGGCTTTGAGAGCAGACAGAGCTGGGTCAGTTCCTAGCTGTGCAGTGGCCAGTCACTTTACCTCACCAAACCGCAGTGTGTTTATTTATAAAATGGGCTAACTCCTAGCAGAGAGAGAGAGAGAGAGAGAGAGAGAGAGAGAGAGAGTTGTTATTGTCCTCATTACCATTTCTGTCATGGTCAAAAGATAAAGTTCTCACAGAGTGATATCTCTAATAAAGATTTACATCAAGGATGTTAGGCACTTTGTTCATTACATGGGATTGGTCACTAGATTTAATAAGATCCAGGCCTCCCAGGCTTGGGAACAGAACTCCATCCTGCAGGTCTATTAATCACTGATTAGGTTATTCTGCCGTGGATCATTGCAACTGCATGACATTGAGGAAGACAGGGAGACAATACCAGTTCCCCCATGAGCTGAGTGACTACACAGAAGCCAGGCATTGTGACATGCACTCAAAACATCTTACACTAGCAGGTGACAACACCATCAGCTCCATGTCACAAATAAAGAGACTCAGGCTTGGAGACATTAAGTGATGCATTCCAAGATCACCTGTGGAAGCAACTGAGGAGGACCAGAAGCTTCCTTCCATGCTGGGGTTTGGAACCCTCTTCCAAGGTAATTCCTGGCCTGAGGAAAAGGAAGAAGCATGTTCATGCCCATACTTCACCAAGACACCAGTTCCTGCCCAGAGCCTCAGGAATACCCAGACACAATTGAACTGAGCAACATACGCAGGACAGGCTCACTGCTTACATGGATTTCACGTCAGAAGTTCTGAGAGATCCAATGCACCACGGGAGGAACACAAAGGCTGAAGTCTGGAGAGTGCCAAGCAGCCATTACAGGAATGGTGAGCATCCTCCAGGGGACCTGCCAAGTCCAGTCATCCCAACTCAACACTCGTGAGCCTAGTGGTTGCCCTGCCCAGGATCCATTAAACCTTAATTCTTACACAAAACCTAACTCATTCTTCCCAAGTTAGGCATAACTTGGTTCCTCTATAGCTTAAAGTAAGAGATGAACATGTATCCACTGATAAACTGGTTACTGACCCTAACAGAATACATGGGCTCACTATGCGCCAGCAAGAAAAGAACCAACCCGCTCCTTGCCTTCAAGAAGAATTGGGGAAGGGGTACAATGTGTATGCCAAACAGGTTAAGACAGTGCTGTTGATAGCTTTCTCGGGATAGTTGACACTGAAGGAAAAGAAGGAAAAAGGGAAAGGAAAGTGGAAGAGAAGGAGGGAGGGTGGGCAATTAGGTGGTGGCACATGAGCAAATCAGGATCTGATGAGCTCCTGAACATGGCTGGAACAGGAGGGAAGAAAAGAGGCTGTCTGCGCCAGAGCCTGGGGAATAACGTTCTTGAATGATTCTATCCAGACTCTTGGCTGCAACCAACTGAAAAGCCAGCTTAACTAGGAATAAATGACAAAAGAAGACAGGGCTCACTTTTAAAGTTCAGGCAGAGCTTACCTCTGACTAGGTGGATCACAGGGATTTAACACTCCCCACCTTCTGGGTTGGACTGACTCCCAAGCCAGCTGTCTCCAAGCAGCAGACCCCAGTGGCAAATAGCTCACATCCTTTCCCATTTAAGTATCCCCCAACTCCACCAGTAAAGTGCTACAATTTTCACAGGGTCACCAATCCATCCCTAAATCAATCACTGACCAGGAAGATGCAGCCCCATGATTGACTACATTACTATCCAATGGCACAAACTGGAGGGAGGGTAATTCTTAGGAAAACCAAGATGGCATACACTAGGAAGGCAAAAGGAACTGGCTAGGCTGCTCACCCCCATCCCTGTGCATTATTAGCTATCACAGATGTCAGTACCCAATACACTTTAGGAAAGGTACCACACTCTGTTCTCAACAGCCTTCTTAAATTGCAATATTTACATCCTCCTGAGAAAACAAAGGCAGCAAACCTAACCTTATCCAAGGTTCCAGAGTGAATAATAGAGTCAAGATTCCAATTCAGTTCTGTCCAAGTCTTCTACCAAAGAGAAAGACTATCTACCCCACCATAAGGCGCATGCAGTGGTACAAGCCTGTCATCTCAGAGACTTAAGAGTTGCCCTGGCAACTTAGCAAGACCCTGTCTCAAAATAAAAAATAAAAAGCATGGGGATATAGCTCAGTGGTAAAGCACCCCTGGGTTTATTCCTCAGAAATGCAACACACACACACACACACACACACACACACACACACACACACACTTACTTTTCCATTATATACCATTTAAAAAGAGCTGAGACTATCCAGTGAAGAACAGGACCCCATCAGAGGAAGTGAAACACCCCAATCTGGGTTTGCAGACACTAGTATGTCTGACACTGGCAAAGAAGAGGTATAAAGGGAAGGACATGGACTACCCTCAGTTCTGTGCCCTCTCTGCAAGATCCAGCTTGAAGGAAAGGGGAAGCACAGGATGGCTATAGGGTGACCCACAGCTTTGTGGATAAGCATGATGGACACAGACCAACATGCTGAGGGCAGGAGTAAGAAAGGTACACTCAATTTGAAGTGAGCTGCTTGAATGCCCAACATGGGATGCATTGCTGGAAACCCTATTACCAGGCACCATGGAGCCAGGACTCTGAGAGCACCTGGAGAAAGCCTCTCAGGTCCAAGGAGGATACAGAGTAGTGCTGGGCAAGGCAAAATCTCAGAGGGAAATAGACATCACTGGAAGCGGGTGTGGCAAGAACTGTAAGGCCAATGCAGTAAGATGCAAGGGACCAGGGGTCGAGTACCACTCATTAGGCTGCATCATTGCTACTTGGTTGGTTCAGCACCAACCCCTCAGCAAGCACAGAACCAGGAAGACATCTTAAAGAGTGACAAACACAGAGCCAAGCATGGTGGGGCACACCTGTAATCCCAGCAGCTCAGGAGGCTGAGGCAGGAGGATTGTGAGTTCAAAGCCAGCCTCAGCAACAGCGAGGCACTAAGCAACTCAGTGAGACTCTGTCTCTAAATAAAATACAAAATGGGGCTGGGGATGTTGCTCAGTGGTTGACTATCTCTGAGTTCAATCTCTGGTACCCCCCCCCAAAAAAGTGAAAAACGTAAGAGGCAAACTGGTGCCTTAGGACAATTCATCTGATAAAGTAAATGATGCCACTTTCTATTTCCCAACTTAGTGGAGGTCCACTGCGCAGAGAGAGAAAACCTTGTTAACACAGGAGTGGCATCCCCAGAAAGAGAAGCAGGCACCTACCCAGCCACACCCCCTAACTCCTCAAGAGGATGGCAGCATGCTCAGAGAGGTAATGCTCAAGTCTTCTACTGTAGCATCTGCTGCAAATACAACCTGTCAAACGCACCAGATTGCTGGAGATGCCCCAATCCCTTCCCACCAGAATTCTCACCCTTTCCATGCTACTGTCTGTGGTTGCCTGGGAGCACCTACATTTTGTCTGCATAGCAGACTCTGCTTCTTCTGGAAACTTTCCAAGAATACTGCTACTTTCTTACAAGGACCCCCTCAAACCCCCTCCAAGCTGAGGCAGAGTGCTGTCCAGGAGTTTCAACATGAGAGTTTTTTCTTTACAATTGCTTAGCCTTCAGGTCAGAACGTAGATCTGCTGTCTCTTATATTATGTGGTTCATTTCTCTCTCTCTCTCTCTCTCTCTCTCTCTCTCTCTCTCTCTCTCTCACACTCTCACACACACACACACACACACACACACACACACCCCTGAAGACAAAATAGACCAGTTTTCCCCCCCACCTCAATTTCAATCCCAAATAGCATTTTGGGAAATGGTTACACGCATTTGCAGAAAACTTGCAAACATTGGAAAAGTAAAGCTGATGCTATGCCCTTCAGGATGAAGTTAGGCTCCTGCACCCCATGGCTTATTTCTCTCTTGTCACCATTTTCAAAATGTGAACTTAGATGCCTGAAAAGACACTCCTTTAAAACAGAAGTGATGGTGTAGTACCCATTCACAACCTTTTTCTGAAAGACCAGCCTAACAGTCAACATGTGGCGTACTTCTGTCACTGCCAGCCTGCCAACATTTAAGAAAAGGGGGAACAGTCCCTACCTTTATGTGCTCATTAACCTAAGGGAAGAAGCCAGGCCCAGAAATTTAGATAGCAGCTTCTGGCTACCCAGGTTCATCTGCAGGAGGGGACACACAAGAGGAAATGGGTAGACAATCAGACCCAACCAGACCTCCTGGGCCTCAACCAGAGCCCACAAGTCTGGATAAGCTATAGCTCTTGCCTAGTTTACCCCATGCCCTGGTGGGGGGCGGATTTGGAGGCTCATGGTCACCTGACCATGCCTACCATAATGCCTCCCCAAACAGGCCAGTTTTAGGCAGTTCTTAAGCCTCAGGAGAGATTGTCAGTCAAGGTGAAAACACCCTGCAAGATACTTGTCCATGATGAGATCCAATTCTGCAACCCAAAAGCATCTGTGCTAAGGCAAATTAACAAAAAGGTACCCAAGGGTGACTACAGGCAAATTCAGTCTGCGGTTCACTTGGAACAGAAGCATTGAGACATCCACAGTGTGACCAAACACCAACCAAACCACCCTGTCACTTAACCCAGACCTTACATTTCATTTGCTCCTATTTTGCCTTCTTGATGCAACTCCTCCAGGCCCAGCACTGGGCCCAACTATCTGCTGTCGATATCACATTGGAGAAATGATTAAATCAGCACCCACCCAGGGATATCAGCTCCAATATCCCATCAACTGCTAATAGGACCTTTAGGGCTCTCAGGGACAACCTCCTTAGTTAATTTAATCAAAGCCCAGCGAAGGCACAAGGGGCTTTCTGGGAAGGAGTCAGGAAGATGTTTAATGAGGATGCAGAACAACCTGAGATCAGGTCTCTGAGTGACAATCAGCTCCTTGTGTCTAAGCTATCCCACATAGCACAGGGCTATGCGACTGAATGAGCCACAGAATTAGTAAAGGAAGTGAAGACAGACGCTTTGCCTGCAACCAGCTAACCAAATGCCAAAGAAACAATGTGAGCCAATCAGCCAAAAGGGTAAACTGTTCTTATTTGATAGACCTACACAAGAGTACCACAGGCTCCTTGATGGCTTTCCCTCACATCAGCAGCTCAGGTTGAAGTGGCCACATCTTCCCTTCCAACGAGAACCATCAAGTAAGTGGCTACTCAGTGAGTCCATTGTGACTGGAGGTATGGGTAGGGAACAGAAAACCATGCTATCTATACTGAAGGTCCGGCCACCAGGGCCACCAGGACATGGGAAACGACTGCCAGGCCACTGACTAGTGTCCTTGTATGGGCCCCAGTCACAAGTGCCTGAGTCCTATCAGTAACTCTCCAAATGCTGGTGTTTGCAGAGTCAAGGCCAGCCACAACCAACCACCTACAAAATCAAATTGCATACAGCACAGGAGTCACCCTGCAGTAACCATGGATGTGGCCTGGAGAAAGCAGCATCCCACATTCTGGCCTTAGCAAATGAAAACATAGAGTGTGTGTGTTCAGAAATCTCATGTTTTGTCACAAGAGCGGAAAAATGGGGCCAAGGACAGAAGGTAGAGGTAGGACCCCTTAACCCCCATCCTTTGGCAGTACTGGGGACGGAACCCTGGGCCTTGCATATGCTAGCTAGCAAGTGTTCTGCCACTGAGCCACACCCCAGCCTCAAGGCAGCATTTGAACAGTAACTCCAGGGACCATAGACGGGCAGGGAACTCAGCTCAAAGACCATCTTCTCTGTCAGGGGTAAAAGGCCAGTCAAGAGTCAAAAAAGGAAAAACACTTCATACCTCTTTCTCAGCTAGTTTAAGAGGAAGCACAGAATTTTTCATGGACAGTCTGAATGTCTCTTCAAAACCCAAAGAGCTACAAAATCCAAAACTTTCTGAGCACCAAAACAAGACTTAAAAATTTTGAATTTTGCATCTTTTCAGATTTCCAGGTGTTTCTGTTGTTGCATTCATGACAACCAATAGACAATATAAAATTCCAAAATCTGAAAAACTCCCAAGATAGAGAAACACTTCTATTCTCAAGCATTTTGGATAAGGAATACTCAACCTATGCAACTTTCCTTCTAGCTTGGTTTAAAATGTCCCATAGATGAATCTGGTATAAAGATCTGGCCCAGGCAGGAAAGTGGACTACTTGCACTCCATGTACCCACAGATATCTCACAGGTGACATGGGAGGCAGCCAGTAGGTCGGCCAAATTCCAATCCCAGGTTGATTCCTTCTAGCCCTATGTCCACTGAACCTTTTTCCTTATCAGTGCCTGCCTCCCATTTTTATATTTTGAATGCACATGAAGTACTGAATACTGCCAACACCTAGGACCTGCTCAGTTTGCAAAGATAAGCCATTTCCAGGCCAGCCTCATTCACATCGAGATCAATAAGCACATGAGTATACACATGCTGTGGAAGTTCTATACATTTGGGGAGTAACTCTTGCTCCATTATTAAGAAGCCTGCAATTCCATGGAAAATGATATTGACAAGACCTGTAGTCAAGCCAGGCATGGCAGCACATGCTAATGGTAGTTTCAGCTACTTGGCTGAGGCAAAAGATTGACTTAAGCCTAGGAGTTTCAGGCCAACCTGGGCAATACATGAGACCCCATCTATACACCTGCCTCTAGCAACACCAATAAACATCTGTTGTGTCAGGAGAAATGTTGAATTGTGTACTTACAGAGACTGAACTTGGGGCCTTGCACATGCTAGGCAAGAACTCTACTACTGAGCTATATCCTCAGGTCTTTTTGAGACAAGCCACCCAGTACCAGATTTAGACTCAGTGTTTCTGCCCTCATCTGTGACAACATTCCTCCCTAGTCCCTAAAATGAAGATGGAACATCTCTCTTTAGGAATGAAGAACCAATCAGATGTTACATAGGCACATAACAAATACCCAATAAAAGATAGCTGTCCACCTTACTTTACAACTGCTGCTGCCCAGCAGAGGAAACCAATGATAACGGGACTCCATGCCTACCTGATGAGTTCAGAGAGAACCTTCTGATAAGCCACTTAAAGCTTTCCAAGATTCATTTGCCTCCAATGGATGAATACAGGAAACTCTTGTCGAAGTCCATGTAGCATTCAGAGGCCTTTAACCCCATCTGCCCAGCAGTCCTTGAGAAGTAAATGCCCAGAGGGCAGCTGGCACATCATCTACCATGATCCTTCACCTTTTAACAGGCTCTATACAGACCCACACAATCTCTGGGAACCCAGAAGGCCCTAGAGTCCAAGGTTCTAGAGGGAGGTCCCTCCTCATCTGGTGGCCTTGGAATGTCTAAAGCCAGCTCTGACAATAATCTAGGATGTCCCCAAGTGCAGAGGGGCTTTCCTTGCAAAAATTCCCTCCTTCTCCACCCTAGGTTTACCCCTAAGGGCCACTCAGAGGGTACAATAGCACTTCAAATACTGCAAACCTTAGGGCCAGCTATTTGGGAAGCTGAGGCAGGAGGATCATTTGAGTTCAGGACTAGCAAGGGCAACAGAGAGATCCTGTCTCACAAAGCAAAAACAACAAAAACCCCCAAACCAACACCTCAAATCCATCCCATGCCCTTCATATTTTCTTGGGGGTAGATGCCTCAGTTGGACTCACAGAGCTTGACATTTGTGAGCTCCCCATTCCATGGCTAAGAGGACTACTGGATGAAATGCCAGCTATTCCTTCCAGTTCTGTTTCTCTCATACCACAGACAAACCAAGAGACGATTACCTCCACCAGCATATAGAACTTCTCATTCTGAACTCACAAATGATGGAACATTCCAGAAAGCCATTTGAGGCTCTTTAGAATGCAGAATTATGTTCAAAGACAACACAGGAAAAACTATTCCATTTAGACTCAGGAGCTACAGACCTGTCAGGCTGTCCCTGTCCCTACACTACCTCACAACGTTCACACACTCTTATTTCTGCCCTCCTCCCTGTGAGGCTCCAGGTCCATAGAGGGCAGGGTCTGGTGTCTTCAGGTCTGCATCTTCCACACTCAGCATCATAATCACTTGCTAGAAGTCTATTCAACTACTGAGCCATCCTTTTCAGTTTTACTGCATTTCTCCATAAATAGCGTATATCCTTTGGTGATGCAGAGAACTCCATGGCCTGAAATTCACCCGGGAAATACTTTTAAACAGCACACAGAACACTGATAGGTTTTCTTTACTCAGGAAATGCACCCCCCCCCTCCATTTCATGGGATCACCACTCTGGGTCTACACATATGCTCCAAGAGTGAAAGGAGTGATTTCGGAAGGGTGCTCCAAGCACGGATGCTGGCAAGGCTACCCTGAAAAAGTACTGCCTCAGTTGCCAACTGCCAACCCACAAACTCAGTCACCCATTCTGACAACTAGCACTGGGCCCCAAAGGAACCAGGTAGACTCAAGGCAGCCCACCCTCATGAATAAAAAGAAGAAGCATGACACAGGACCTGGCTTCCAAAAGGAGGAGACAGGGAGCAGGCAGGAGGTCCCCACCACTGAGCCACAGTCTTCTAGAGGTCAAACTGTAGCCCATTCTAGATAATCCTCACAAGGGCAGATAAGAACAGCAGCCCCCTGAGCCTAACCCTGAAATTGACACCATTGAGGTGTGCATCTTAAGCCCAGGAGCCAAGGTAATTATTGGTCCCTTTTTATATCTGTATCCAGGACAAACTTTCCTTTCCACAGGCTAGTCTTGGGATAGTCCTCTAGGCCTCTGGGACATCTAGCCAAGGCAACATACTCAGAAATTTCCATGAGAATAGACTGTTAAGTCCACCTTTTCAGGGACAGAATGAGTCACAAACAAGGTCTTACACCTGTTTCCCAAGCTATACTTGTTACTTCCCTATTTCCTGAAGTCGTAAACAGCACACTGCTCTTCTAACACACCCAGCCATGGTATAGAAAGCAAAGACAGGAATGTCATGAATTTGGGAAACTGGGGAGATCAGGCAGAATTCTCATGCCTAGGTTTCATGTCCTCTAAAATGCTTAAGAAGTCAGAATCAACAGTCTTCAATTTTAGTTTATATGATTTCTTTTTGGGGCAGGATGGATGGCATTTTAGGTTAACATTAAAAATGCTATTGCTGGACCTGGAGTGGTTCATGTTAATTCCTGCAACTTGGAAGGCTGAGGCAGGAGGAGGTTTTAGGCCAGCCTCAGCAACTTAGTGAGACCTTGTCTTAAAAAAAAAAAAAAAAAAAGGTGTGTGGATGGGTGGGGAATGCTGGGGATGTGGCTCAGTGGTTAAGTACCCCTGTGTTCAATCCTTGATACCAAAAAAGAAGAAAAAGAAAAAAAAAAAGCTATTGCCAGACATGGTGATATACCCCCTGTAATACCAGCAACTGGGGAAGATAAAGCAGGTGGATTCCAAGTTCAAGACCAGCCAAGGCAACTTAGTAAGATCCTGTTTCAAAATAAAAAATTAAAAGGGAATGTAGCTCAGTGGTAAAAACACTGCTGGGTTTAATCCCCAGTACCAGGAACAAAGAAAGGAATTAATTTAAAAGTGCTATTCTTCTTCTTCTTCTTCTTCTTTTTTTGTTTTTTTGTGGTATAAGGATTGAACCCAGGGGCGCTTTATCACTGAGCCACATCCCCAGCCCTTTTTTATATTTTATATAGGGTATTGCTTAGGGTGTAAGTTGCTAAGGCTGGCTTTGAACTTGTGATCGTCCTGCCTCTGCCTATTGAGCCACTGGGATTACAGGTAAGTACCCCTGCACCTGGCAAAAGTGCTATCATCCTGAAGCAGAAAGTAAAGCAAGAACACAAGACTCATGAAAAATTTCACATTGGTCACCATGATACCACTCAGGACACTCTATGACAAAGACCTTAAGATGCTCAAAAGACAGGTCACCTAGTATCCTCATCCTTCTAGATCACAGGTAAATCTAATCCAAGTTCTAATCTCATATAAGTCTTCCTTACTCAAGAAATACACCCAGCCCATGAAATCACTACATTAGATCAACACGTGTGCCCTCACAGTGAAAAGGGGCAGTATGGAAAGGGTGCCCGAAAGGCACTAGCACCCTATCAGGGCCACTATGAAAATGCACTGCCTCCCCACTTTTCTTACCAGCTCAGAATGCTGCCCCCCACCCACCATGTCTCTTCTTTTTTCCATCTTTCAACAGCAGCATGATAGTATTTAGGGTCACAAACATTGTTATTTAATAATTCTGGGTAAGTCCCTAACTTTGAGTTGGTCACCTCGTTTTGAGCCAGTTACCTGACGTTAAGAAACAACAGCAACTTGTCCTCTTGTGGTCATGGGAGACACTCATTGAATGGCCCCTAATATTACTATAATGTTGGCTTCCACACTTGCCAAGGGGGGAGACCAGTTTTACTCCATCTCCCTTTGTAGGACTGTTGGGAGGAAGCAGAACACTCTTGCTAAGGTGCCATACAAATTAATGTAAAGTGTCCACTTCTCTTTAGAAATCTGTGATTTGAGAAAGTTCACACAATACACCTTATAAAGTTATTTAAAACAAACAAAAAAACCTCTAGAATGATTCAAGTCAGCCTCTGCTACCACTTCCAGAATCTGATCCTGGGTCTGGAATAAGTACACCAGTTCCCAGTCCTACTCTGCAGACAAGGAACCTGCAGGGCAACTGAGACAAGCAATGTCTTAACCTTCAGATTCCTAGGTAGGAAAATGACCCTTCTTGCAAGTCTTTGCAGAGCCCCTTGCTTACCTCCTTTTAGATACTGATCCCTGCAGGCTATGAGGAATAAAGGAGCTTCTGAGATTTCCTGCTCCAGAGCCTGACAGTAGGGAAGCAACAACATTGATATCAAAAGCTGTACAAGTCCCTCTTCTCTGTGCAAGTCCCTCTTCTCAGCAGAACCTTCTCTGGTCTCTCACTGCTCTAAACAGAGAGACAAACACCCGCATCTAGCAAGCCCTGCCCTGTGCTTTCTTGGCTTTTCAAGGGTATGCAGTATACCCTCCACTGTCTCTGTCCAGCCATTCTTTGAAAAGCTAAGTCTTTCAACCATAACATGACATCTATGTTGCCCAGTTTTACAGAGATTTCCAGTCACCAGTGAGTCTTTCATTCTCCCCAAGTTCTGCATTAGAATATTCCACAAGTAGACTTCAGGATACATAGCAGTCACCAGGACTTTTTGGGAAAATGGAGACTCAGATATAGCTCCTAGTATTAGGGCCAAGAAGGCTCCTAGTGTTCAGTCAGTTGAACTAGCAATGCAGAACACAAGCCTAATGCTTCCACTCTGGAAGAAGACAAGAAAAGAAACATCTCTAAGGAATCTGCATTCTATCAGGAAGACAAGGCCTGGATATTTATGAAATAATGAGCATCTGATGTAAATGGGAACCTAATCACCTGCCAAAGAGACTTCATGGGGGGCTGTCATTTCTGTGCAAAAGTTAGACACACTACTCAACTTCACCCACAATGCACAAAAATTCAGGGGAACAAGTAAAAGCAAATCGCTCTTCAGAGAGATTTTCAACACCCTGGATTAACACACACAGCTAAACGTAAGGCTCCAATTATTCTGAAAAACTCTTAGATGCCTTTTGGAAAGGAGAGTAGAGGATTTACTGTATTAGAGAATGGGCAAAAATTACAAACTCTGAGCCAACTGCTATAGAAATTCAAATACTCCAGAGAATAAAATTTAGAACAAAAAAGCAGCTTCTTCCTGAGACTCCTTCAGCAAGGAGATGGTCAGTGACATTATTTTCCGTACTTATCTTTTCAGATACTTGTGGATATTAGTGGCCCAACACTGATTTTTCAAGCAACAGCTAGGTTTGTTAACCATAATTGCATGCCCATAAAGGTAAGCATTACATGACACAATTCTCTGTTGCTTCTCTCAGAAGAGATTTAATTTTAGTGTTGGCTCTTCAAACTGTCCCCGTTTTTTTTTTTTTTCCCTTCTTCATTTTCTCCGTGAACATTTTAAATATGTGTCAATTACCCTGTGCTGGAGTTCATAAGTGGGCAAGACCGAGAAGAGAACTGTGTGCTAGCACTCTTTTCTCACTGAGCCTAAAGAAATCCAAGAGAAACTACAGAGAAAGACACTCTGGGCTCTTGGGTCTCCTCCGCCAACAACTGTGGACAATCCAAACTCTCTGACCTCCTACTGTTCACTCAAAGTCATGCTCCTGTCAAATGGCACTTAACTATCTTCACAGATGGTCCTACAATGGCAGCATTTAAAGGAGGCACTTTTCTCACTGCTCACAAAGAAACAATTTCCCAATTCCATCTACCACCCTTTGGATAGTAGAGTCTGACCCACACTTATCATTAGAGTCCCCCCAATTAAGCCATATGACACGGGAATTCCATAGCACGAGACATATCCATGGATCTATACGAATTTAACATTTTTGTCTATGCAAAGACATAGGAAATTAAGGTTTGTTTCCTCCTCCTCCTCTCCCTTTCCAACTCTAGGGACCCTTTAGGTTAGAGTCTTACAGGTCACTTACAGTGACCCTGAGGTCACTGCTTCACCTAATCTACAACATCATGACTGCATGTCAAAGTATCTTCAGATCCCAAGGCTCTCCTAGTTGGCATTGAGGGCCAATGCTAATGTTTCAGGTCTCACAGTCTCAAAAAAGGTAGCAAGCACATGAAATTCAAGAAATCACACTGCTGGCTCCAAGAAAGCAGCAAAAGTCACCAAGTCCTTTCCCATGTCACTTGTTTCATCCCTTAATATTTCAATCTTGGAACTGCAGCAGCACCAGTTACTGCAAAAAGGACCTTCCAGAAGGTTTTATATAGCCTGTGCCTACTCCACCCCCAAAGTCATAACAAAAATGTCTGTAACATTTGTTAAGACAATTACCATCAAGTCAATCTTAATGGGGCCTGAAGACGAGGAATAAGAGAATTACTAAGATACAGCAACCACGATCTTACAAAGATCATAACCCTTCAATTTCTACCAAGACTGAACAAATCAAAGTGAATTATTCCAAAAACACCAGAGTAAAGCACACTGCTAAGAATAATCAGCAAACTCATGTAAAGGAAAAGCTCATCTAGTGAGAGAAACCCGAGTTACCTGGCAAGGCCCAAGACAATTTTTTCTTCCATCTCCAGCATGTTAAAAAGTGATCTCAATGGCCACTTCCTGGTCTCCAAGTAAATGCCTGGATACCACTGCATCTTCCTATTGCCCTGCTCCTGCCACAGGGAAAAAATGGCACCTATTGCCAACAAAACCTTGGAGAAAGTATGAAAACATGCTAAGTTTTTCCCTGCACTATTGGAAGGAAGAGGGAGTGGTACTTCTATAAACAGTAGCCTTAGCAATGGGGCACCTGAGAAAGTGACCCCCTGGAGTTAACCCTGAAGGGGTCCACAAACCACCAGGCTAAGACCCCCAAGTTGGGGTAAGAAACGATGGAAGCAGAGTTCTTGGGTGAATGGGACAGAGAACAATCATCTCTAATTCACTACCAAAAAGCCAACCTCTGGCTTGGTCAGGGACACAATGAGCACTCAGGCCCAGAAAGACAACAGGAAGGATCCCACCCGCCCCAGAATCATCTTTCTTAGGTAGTGACCTCAAGAGGGATTTGGCAAAGGTATGTCTAGTCCCAGAACGGAGAAGGAGGTCTCTCTCAAGGGGCCCTGGGCGCCCAGCTAGGGGCAGAGCAGGCGGGTGTTCCCTCCGAAGTCAAGAAGGTGCTTCTAGTCGGGAAAAGAGAAAAAGGACTTCCCTGATCACCCAGAAAGCCGAGACACAGGAGGCACAGACTCCCCGAGTCATACCCCGGACACTAGTTGCTTCGCAGTCTTCCTTCCTCCCCTCCCCCCCGCCGGGAAGGCTTCCCGGGGGTCTCGGGTCCCGGGGGTAGGGCAAGGCAGGTGAGCTCCGTCAGGAGCAACCAGGGTCGTAGAGGTGAAGCAGAAGGAAAGGAAAAGCTCTGGCCTCAGTCTTTATCTGCCCCCTTCGCTGAGGCCGCACGGAAGCCTCGGCCTCACGTACCGAGAGCCGCCGGGTTACCCGACTTGCCCTGGGCCCGGGCCTGGGGAGCGAGAGTCCGGGATGGCAGCGCCTTTGGGAGAGAGAGGGGCTCAAGGCGAGTCCCCTGAAGCCCTACGGGCGAGGGGCACGAGGAGGGGGAGGGTCCCGGGCCCACGCGGCCTCCGTCCCGGCTTGCGCGGTGGGTACTTACGTTGCTCTGGGAGTCGATGGCCTGCAGCAGCCGGTCCCTGATCTGCTGCGGAGACGCCGGAGCCGCTGTCATTGCCTGGGCGAGGCGGGGGGGAGCGGCCGGGCCAGCGGGCGGGCGGGCTGAGGCGGGGGACGGGGGTCACTCACTCTCCGGCCTCCGGGAGCGGAGCCGCATGTTCCCCGCGGCGCCGGGGTAGGTGGGGGCGCGCGGGGTGGCGGAGAGGGGAGCCGGGGCCGGGGGTCGGGCCCGGGCCGCCGCCGCCACCGAAGGAGGAGGAGGAGCCGCCGGAGCCGCCGCCGCCGCTGCCGCCGCCTCGAGAACCAAACTCCAGTGAGCTGCCCCCGCGCGGAGCACTCTGGGTAACCCGCGCCGCACGCAGCGTCGGCGCCACGCTGAGGAAGTTGGGAGATAGGGCGGGCGGAGACGCCAGGCCTGGGCGGGGCCGCACACGCGCCACGCCCCTCTCTTCCGCGCACGCGCGCGCAGGCGCATTGGCCCAGCCGCGCCGCCCCGCTCCACCGCCCGGTCAAGGGAGCCGTTGGGAGGCGGTTGGGCGGGACAACGGCCACTGCCCGGAGGCCCCACCCCTGTCTGGGCTAGGTGGGCGGAGCTTTCCGACGCAAACGCGCGCGCGGAGCCCTTAAACCCAGACCCTCCAGGAGGCCGCCTGAGGTACGTGGGGAGGAAAATTCCCCCTCGCGAGAGCGAATCTTCTCAGTGAGTGAGTTGCGGGGCGAGAATCGTGCAAGAGGGAAGCTGCCAAATTTTCTGAGCCCGGGGTTCCTGGGACCGAGGGGACTCGGCGTCCGCACTGATTCTGCTCGCTGAGGGGTCATGGGAGGATCTCAGCCGGCGCGGTCCCTCTTCGTCTCCAGGGGAACCGGCGCGGAGCGGGAGCTGTCATCCCAGCTGAGACGCCCAAGAGCCCGCGGAGCACACCCGTCGGCGGGCGGTCTCAGCGCCAGCGCCCGGGGCGCTCGGGCAGGAGCCTTCTGCCGTAGACAGGCGCCATCCCTGGTATCTATCTACCCGCCGACCCCGGAGCTCCCCTGCCCCGGGTTCTTCAGCCATTGCCGACGACCCGGAGGGTGAAGGGCAGAACGGCCGCCCCGTGGAGAATCCCTGGTTTTCAAGACCATTCAAGCATCCTGCTTGACGGAGATGTGGAAAGCCGAAACCCTTATTCTCCGAACCAAACATTTAATAGGAGGAAATCGAGGACCAGGCCAAGGTCACCCGGAGCCTTAGGTCAGACCCACGACGGCTGAAGTCAAGTCTAAGGGCTTCCCAGCCGCCTCCCCTCCGAGAGCTGTTGGAACTGCTGTTAGCAGAAGGGGGAAAGGCAGGCGCGGTGGGGATTACCCGTGGCCTCGGGAGAAATGACTTTTTTCGTTGTTACCGGAAGACCTAGATGTAAAACAGGAGGGAGACGGCTAATGAGAACCACGTGTCTCGTTGGAACTGCGGGACACCTGTTAGTCTTGCATTTGTCATGCTTCTGGGAAGCATTTTTATTTGCAAAAACAGCTACTTTTGCACGTGGCGGCTGTTGCTTGTTTCTGCACATTTTAAAAGTTTTACATCACACTTGTAGGAAAAATAAACATGAACAAAATACTTCTCTATTTGATTTACTCGCTCTCTTTGCCCTGGAATGAGGTGCTTTGTGTACATGGTCCAAGTTGGAAACTGGCCCATTTGGAGATATTCTTTTATCTCACTTCAGATAAGCAAAATAAACAAGCTCTACCCCAGTCATATTCCAGTCTTATCTCTTAATTTCTACTCAGGTGCACATCTTTTAGGTCAAGGATTACATAGAAATGAACAATTTGTTTTGCATGGTTCAGGCTGTTTTAAGAAAAAGCTAGAAAACAACTTACCTGATTTTTAAAAAGGTTTTTAATACCTTTAGTTTCATGTGGTGCTGGAGATTGAACCCAGTGTCTCACACATGTTAAGCAAGTGCTGTCTGTACCCCTGACCCTCAGCCCTGGCCCCTTAAAAAGGTTTTTAAACTAAGAAGCAGGTGCGGGTGCAACTCAGTGGTAGAGTGCTTGCCTAGAATGTGTAAGGCCCTAGCAAACAAACCAAAACAAAAAACTAGGCATTAAATTGTATTCCATGAGGGCACTGGCTCATTTCAGAATTCTCAGTAGACGGAAAAGTTCTTAATATTTGTGGAACAGCTGGGTGCAGAGAGATACACCTTAATCCCAGATACTCAGGAAACCCAGGCAAGAAGATTGCAAGTTCAAGGCCAGCCTTTTTGTTTCTAAGGGCTGAAGTTAAGCTCAGTGGTAGGGCACCCTTGGATTCAATCCCCAGTACCACATCCCCCCACCAAAAAAAAAATGGAATAAGGGATATTTCATCAGATACACCCCAGGCATATGCATGCATTTTCTTTCCACAGATTCAGTAACACTGTGGGCCTTTAATATTCCTTCAATGGTATCTTTTATAAAATGTTAACAAATCCTCTATACATATAAGGATACACATAGACACAGGTAGATATATATGGTTTTATTTCACAATTAACAGAGAATAGCGAGACTATAACTATAAACAGCCAATAATGGGCATCTTAACAAGTTAGCAGCTTCTGTTAAAGTCCAAGCTAGGCGCTGCAGTCCACCTAGCCAATCTTCTGCTCCTTTGAAGACACTTGAAATGGCTCCTATCAGTTATGCAAAGGCAGAGCATGCCATAAAGCCTCTTGCTGAAATAGTTGTCAATGACAAATGATAGCCCCTCTGACAGCCCCACTGTCCTAAAAACACAAGATCATTTGTGTTTTTAACATCCTTGAAAATCTGTCTCACCTCAAAAGTGGCCTCCTTCCAGAGAGAAAGGGAGAGGACATGGCTGAGTCCACAACTTCTCTTGCCATGAGAAGCAGAAAGTTAGTTTTAGGCAGCATTGCACAGGGCATCTTCAGTCAAGCCTGACAAGGAGACAGTGTGCTCTTTTTCCCCGTAACACTCTGCTGTGACCCAAGCAGGAACCTGGGCATACAAGGGCATCACAGAGGGGAGAAGCGAGCAGTAGGCAGGCTCCACCACCCTCACAACCTTATTGGACCATCTTTAACAGTGGCACCACGTAGTGTGATGGAACAACAGCAGGAATGTGTTCACCAGACTTTTATTCAGAAACAAGCTCCCGGGTTGACAGGCCATTTCAAGATCAAGCCACTGGACTTATCCCAGTAAGGGATGTGAGGGCTCCAGTGATTAACAGGAAAAACAAAACTGACAAAATTGATCATCTACTTTGGCCCATTCATTTGCTGAGTTGGGTGGGGATTTTTAAAACACCTTTTCTCATTTATTAACTCATTCAACCACATAATTTCAGAAGCACCTAAAGATGGGTGTACGGAGTTCTGCTTGGTTCTGCAGTTAGTCCTATTTACTGTAAAAGTGAACGCAGTTTTAATTGGTTTTGATTAACGCTGAAGTGTCTGCTACTTATCTTATCTCCAAGTAAAGGGGACACAAAGGCACTCACAGTCTGCTCTTAAAGTTCTAGTTTTGAAGCCAAGCACTGGAACCAAGTTGAGTCCATTAACACAATACTGTGATTTTTCTATACAAGGAAAGTACTCCTGGAACACCACGCAGGGAAAAAGTCACTCTGAACAGCAGAACCAGGAAAGATGTTTGATAAGGAGATAGCACTTCAACTGAGATACTGCAGTATGTTCATATCCTCTGATCTGTTGTTTCACAGGTTCTAAAAGTTTTTCCCAAGGAAGCAATCACAGAAGACGAATGTGGCGTGTACAAGAAGTTCATGGCAGCACTGTTTACAGGAGCAAGAGATTAGAAGCAACCTAAGTGTCCAGTAATGAGGGAGTATAAACGGACTGAGGGTCAATTCAACATCAAGGGAAAGTTATGGGCTGGAAACTGGAAGAGGCCACAGGGAGTCTTCTGGGTGCTGCAACACTCTAGACCTCAACCTGGGCCGTGGTCTCCTGAGGCATGTACATGTAGACTGGCCAGCCTTACAACGCTGTAAAGTGAACCCAAGGTTGGGCGGAGATCAGCAGAAAAGTGCTTGTCTAGCATGCCTGAGCCCTGGATTCCACCCTCACCTCCACAAAAAAGAAAAAATAAAGTAAAAGTAAATCTCAAAAAGTAAATAAAAGGAAACACACACACACACATATGCACACGTGTATTTGTGAGAATCAGCCATTAAAAACCAGTACTGAATAGCATAAAGATGGATGAGATTCTCCAAATTTAATTAAAAAATGATCAAACGAAGTATATTAACTACATACATTATGATCTTAATTTTAGTTTTATTAAAATTATACACACAAACACACACTTATGCATGTGATACACAGAAAGAATACTAGGAGAAAGGAAAACCAAAATATTATAGTTGTTCTCTGATAAGTAGAAGGACAAATTTTTCTCTTACACTTTTCCCTGGAGTATCCTATTTTCTAGAAGGAACATGTACTGCCTTCTAGCCATCCTGTTAAGTGCTGGGATAGTTCCCATCTTCAGAAGCCTTTACAGTTCTCACTGCCTGACGGATCATTGTCACTGGCTAATCTGCAGTGAGCCCATAATCCCCGAGACACTGGTGATGGATTTGCTCTCAGGCTGGCGACTAATGGATGAAGATCGAAGTCCCACAGCTTATCTTTGCCTTACTGCCCCAGTTTGGTATCATTAGTTTTAGTGAAAAGGAGTAACAACAGGGAATTACATTTTTTGAGCACCTATACTGCCTTAAGGTCCATGGTAAGGACTTTACATGAAGACCCTGAGGAAACCACTCTGGATGAGCAGGTCCTTTTATCAGACCCCCTCAACTCCGGACTGGGCATGTGACTCCCTTTAGCCAAGAGAATGCAGCACACACCATACTCTGCTTGGTCCAGGTTAAAACCTTAAGAAGGTCTGGCAGTTACCATGTGACTCATAATTTCATTCCTAGAATCTTCCCCAAGAAAACTGAAAATGAACATTCACATAAAAACTGGTGTGTGTACATGTTCACAGCAGCGCTATTCATAATAGCCACCAAGTGCAAATATCCCCAATGCCCATGAACAGATTAATGAGTAAATGTCTACACATCCACACCATGGAATATTATTTGGCCCATAAAAAGGAATAAAGCACTGATACAGACCACAATTTGGATGAGTCTTAAAAACATGATGCTGAGTGAAAGAAGCCAGACACAAAGGTCACAAAGTGTATGATTCCATCTGTAGAAATGTCCAGAACAGGCAAATCCATAGAGACACAAAGCAGATCAGCAATTGCCAGGAATTGGGGAAAGCAAACTGGGAGCGACTGCCAATAGGGTTAGGGTTTCTTTGGGTGGGACGTCATAAAAATGTTCTGGATTTATCATAGTAATGGTTGCCCATCATCGTAAATGTACCCCAAATAACTGAAATATGCACTTTTAAACAGGTGAACTACATGTGAATTTTACCTCATTAAAACTGTCAAAGAAAAAAAAGGATAAAAAGGAAGAGGTGGCCTGGCAGCTTCTGCTTTTGCAGTTTTAGAACACCAACCTGGCCAGGCTGGTCCAACATGGCCAAGTGCCAGATGTGTGAGTTGACAAGTCCCCCGACCCACCCCAATGGACACCATGTGCCCTGTCCCTACTGCACCCTATCCAGTTTGCCGGCTCACAGAGCTGTGACCAAATACTTGTGGTCTGAAGCCTCTGAATGTTGCAGCATCTATTATGCTGCACTACATAACCAAACAACTGCCATTATTATTATTATTATTATTATTATCATCATCATCATCATCATCTTGAGAGGGGGATCTACTTTGTTCAAGTGTCCTGGGCTCAAGTGATCCTCCCAAGTAGTTGGACTACAGGAATAACATGAGCGTTCCAAGCCTCAGGTTACACGTAAGGGAGAGCCTGAGGCCAGAGAGGAGACTCACCCAAGGTCATTCAACTCCCCACTGGAGCTGGACACCTCGCCAGATCCTTCCATTTCCATGTGCTCAGCAGCCTGTGTGTGTAGCACTTCATGCCTGGTCATCTGTCCCACGGGTTTTTCTCCTTCTGTGAACCTAACCTGGCCTGAATCTTGTCTGATGGACGGTACACACACTTCTAGGCAGCTCTTTCTGACACGGGAATTAAATCTTTTTTCCCCCCTGCTTCTCAGGGGTCTTCTATTTCATCTTGCCTAAGCCCTCGCTATGAGGTCCTTGTCACAAGCCAATGTGCATCGCATCATGCACGCGGTGCCATCCACCTGTGCTCCCTGGGTTTCCCGCCTGTCTTCTTCCTCACCACCCCTGAGTTATTCTCTCCACACCTGCCATCTGGGCATCCAAGGGATCTGCTTCTCAGATCACTCATGTGGGCTGGATTTGGGACAGGACAATAAGTCCAGCCCAGAAGTCAGGGTTTCCAAAATCTGCAGATGTTCAGGTCCCTTCTAAAAAACAGCAGTATTTGCACAGAACCTCTGCACATCCTCCTGTGAAGTCTAAACCACCTCTAGGTGACTTGTAATGGCCACTAAAATGTAAATGCTGTGTGCATGGTTGTTATCCTGCACTGCTTGGGGAATATGGAAAAGGAAAAAAGTCTAGGTGTGTTCAGTAAGATACACAATCTTTTTCCTAATTATTTTTGATCCAGTTGGTTGAATCCATGAATGCAAAGAGCCACTGTGCCCAGTCCTGAGCCAGACTCTGAGCCAAACCAGGTATAAGCCATTTCCCCAAAGAGCTAAAAACAAGGGCCAAGGGGCTAGTGTTGAAAGCCAACCAGGACACAGGAAGAAGGGCAGAACGGGTAGAAGCAACACTAAAAGACCCCACAGGACCAGTGGAACTTTCTAGGAACAAAGGCATGAGGTACCCAAACACAGGGAAACACCAAAGATACACCAAAGAAGGATTTCCAAAAACAAATCACAGGCCAGCAGGGTTATCTGATGGTATCCATGGGGCATGGTTCCAGGACTCCCTGTGGACACCCAAATCCATAATTGCTCACAACCCTTCTATAAAATGATGTAGTACTAGCACAGGAACCATACCTGTCCTCCTGAATATTTTATACAATCTCTAAGTGACTTAGAGTAGCTAATAGAATGTAAATGCTAAATACATAGTTGTGATACTGTTTTGCTTAGGGACTGAAAAGAAAAAACACCTAGGCATGTTCAGGATATACACAATTTTCCTCCCAAACAGTTTTGGTTGGTTGAATCCACAATGTGGAGAGCTACTCACACCTGGTCTTGAGCCACCTCCTCACAAAGAGACTGACGTACAAAGAGGAATGACAACACCCCCCCAAACCTCTCAGCAAGACAGGGGCAGGGCAAGGCTCCATCACAGAGGCTCTCCACAATCCTGAACTCCAAAAGCTCCATGAGCTCAAAATATTTTTGTTAAGTTTGAAGGAAACTCAATTAATGGCAAAGTCTGTGCTGAGGCTGTTTGCAGTCTTCACTTCCCAACTATGTGAATGTCCAAATGTTTTGTTAGAAAATATGATGCTTTGATGACAGCACAACCCAGGTCCCATGAGATGAGACACAGAATATACAAGCTAAGTATCCCTTATCCAAAATGCTTGGGACACAAATATTCTGGATTTCATGATAAAATATCTTGGGGACAGACCCAAGTCTAAAACCAAACTTCATTTACATTTCCTACACATCTTACACACATAGCCTGAAGGTAATTCTACACAAGATTTTTTAAAATTTCATGAATGAAACAAAGTTTCATGGAATGATTTTTCCTCTTGTGGCGTCACATTGGCGCTCAAAATATTTTGAATTTTTTTGACACACAATGGGCGCTGCTCAAAAACCAGGGAAGCTCTGCACTCAGAAATGGCCCTCGTGCCTCCAGCTTTAGAAGAGGCCTCACCAGTCAGTGGCGTCTCCCAAAGACCTCCTGTGTGCTGGGCACGTTCTGAGTGCCTTCCCCTAGCTCACAGGATCTGTGTCATCAGTCAAATGGTGTGAACCCATATAATGGGACACAGAGACCCGCGCCAAATACTCTACACTTGCAGGTGGGGAAGCAGTGGCATAGGAAGTAGAGAAGGGTCAGGAGAACCCGGATCTTGCCAACTCCACTGATGACTCTCACAACTTTGGGTAAGTCACCTCCCTGGACCTGGTTTCAACTTCCTCACTGAAAACACTGAGATGGCACCAATACTCCTAGCACGTTAGGTATGCCAAAGGGTAGAGGAGGAATACAAAAAGCAGGGGCACAGGACGAGTTCTGTTTGTTCTAAGAGAGGAAGTGAAATTCCAGACAGACCCCCACCCTGCCTCTGCCCACCACACACACACACACACACACACACACACACACACACACAACCAAGCCATTCACCAAAGTTCCCCTGTGCCCTTCCTGGGCCCGACTCACCCTGCAGTATGCTCTCCAACGCCATGAACTTGTCCTCAGGTAAGAGTCTGATAAAACCAGGGAGCCACCACCACCTCCCCACAGTCCCCTCTCCCCACACAGTTCTGAAACTTCAGTTCACTTTCTATGAACTGGAATGTTGGCCCAAGGCTAAACACTTTGTCTTATCTCATCAAATTTGACAAGGTGAGGTAAGGAGACATGAGCAAGCAGATGAAGATTCCTTGAATTTGAAAAGGGTCTAGGCAATGCACACTCATGAAGATTCAACTGCACTTGTCCCTGAGAGCAACCCAAGCTCTGTGGTGTTAACTCCCAGGGACACAGGAAAGGATGAATGTCTACAAAGTCTATTCGTCTTTTTCTTTTTTTTTGCGGTGCTGGGGATGGAATCCAGAGCCATGCACATGCAAGGCAATTGCTCTAGCCACATATCAGGCCCTTTTTGTTTTGAGACAGGGTCTTGCTAAGTTGCCCAGGCTGGCCTTGAACTTTCAATTGTCTGGTCTCAGTCCCCAAGGCGTGCACCACCGCGTCCAGCAAGACGTGTTCTTAAATAGGGAAGAGTCAGGATTAGAGATAGGGCACTATAAAAGAGACTGCACAAGCCACTGCTGGCTTGGAATATGGAGGAAACAGGCTGTGGATCAAGGAGGAAGGCACCTGTGGCAGCTGGAAAAGATAAGGAAACAGACTCTCCCCTAGAGCTTCCAGAAGGAACCAGCTCTGCCAAAACCTTGATGTTAGCCAGGTAGGTCACATCTGCAACTACTGACCCCTGGAACTGTAAGAGAATAAATTTTTCTTATTTTGAGCCATGAAGTTTGTGGTTATTTGTTACAGCAGCAAGAAGAAACGAATACAGCTTTGTTTCTATGGTTTGAATGTATCCCCCAAAGTTACATGTTGGAATTTCCTTTCCAAAGCAAAAGTATTGAGAGGAAGAATGTTCAAGAGGTGATCATATCAT